ATTTATATTCATTTTAGAATCCAGAAACGTTTGATGGACGCTGTTAAAAGCTGCTGTGAACTATACGCAGTCGTAAGAGAATCCGCTTCAAAGCCAGAGACACAACAATTTTTTCATGCATGAATTTCAGACGCGATTTGAAAAGCGAAACGAATTCGGAACATTAAACTGAGTTTTTGAAGCGGAATTATGAGTAACCACCACACAAGGGACCTGAATTTGTCATAGAAGCTCTCGATATTTTAATGGTTACGTGTTGCATAGTTTTATCTGTGCCTTGGACACTTGTGATTCAAGCGGCTTAGAAACACTCCCTTCAAAACTACAAAGGGAGTTTACGATTACTTCTTTGGCTATTTAACTATGCTGTACGATATTAAAGAGCTGTGAAGATAAATATTTATGGTGATAATGAATAATACGGTCGTGATGTGTTATAAGGAATTCGCCATGCGATTAATGAATGTAAGGAAAGAATTTTAGGATACTCGAAAGCCCGGCCGATTCTAGAAATATGTACCTCCCAAATACAGATCTACAGATTTACTGCTCGGCTGAGTTATCGAGAAAAAATTAATGTTGTCTTAGTTTATTTTCAATTTTGTTCTTTGATAGTATTATACGAAAGTTCAACACAACCAAAAAAAAGTGTTAACATTGGGCCTGACCATAAGACCAGCAGAATCCATATGACATTCTCTCTGCAGCGTTGACGTCACTTGTTGCCCTGTACGTCAGCTTCGTGTTCCTGAAGACTACAGCAGCCATTTTTTAATGGCTTTTATTAGAGACTTGTCGTTCGTCAGTGAGTTTCCTACTCAAACAGTTTACATGTTACTCGTTATACGTTTTCTTAAGTAGATCTGTGTGATATAAAACGCCTAGTAATTCTAAATCATATAATTTATTATAATCAAGGAAGTTCAGAACTCATAAACAAATGCAATTGGTGTGTAAACTCTATGACAGGATATGCAGTAATAACATTCGAATGGAAATTAATAACGAATAGTCAATCTGCTAACGGAATAATTAATCCTTTTTGCTTATTCAACAAGAATCACTACAATGTTACAGTTTAAATTTCTGTTGTGTGCATGCTTATATATTTTACACAATTTTGTTTTCAATTTCATTAAATTGTAGGGCACTTGTGGCTAATATACAGACAGATTAACCTAGTTCTTTACATTTCAGAATATCTAAATGTGTTGATTTACTGAACCGGGAAGTATATTTCACTCTTTGTTAAGTCCTGATCATGCCACTCAATAAATATATATCTACTCTCCCCCTCCCCAAATTAGGTAATATAATTATGGTTGGGTATGACATGTAGCATGCATGTTTGAAATAAAACTGAATACAAAATTAGTCAGAAAATCTGACGAGGCGAACATCTGGAGAGAGTTGAAAGCAGAACAATTAAAGAAATTTTTGAATAAATACAACGTGCGGATGTTGCCCGACACAACTGGCTCAGGAAAGGGTTCGTTGACTAGCTCTTGTGAACACGGTAATGAAAACTTCGGTTACATAAAATGACGAAAAAGTCTTTACCAACTAAATGAAAATAATTGTCTCAAATACTCTACTCAATAAACATACGTATATATATTCCATTATATTGAGGCGGATGATTTCCATACATACTCTTTTCTTGAATCATAAATTCATGTCATTCATAAATGTCAGAAAATCAATTGGTCACCCTGTTCTAATTTGGGATGCACGCTGAATGCGGTGCGCTGTCACATTCTTATTTCATACATCTCGGGCGTTAATCAGGAATACGTCACTGCATTCAACTTGGCAAATTACGTCGCTCATTAGGGGTTTAATACATAATACCCCTCACTCAGGCCACCGCATAACATGCATAATGCTAGGCCCTGCATCCAAACGGCACAATAGCTCCGTGCTGAAATTGATAACAACAAAAATGAGAATATGATTCATGCTCATTTAAACTAGTTTAATCAATCTGTCGGCAGAGCTCATCTGTGTCAGAGCAGAAAAGCATTTTCATACCTCTTAGTTCATTTAACTACGCTTGTTATACAGAATGTTTGTTATACAGGTTGATCAAAAAGTCAGGCAAACTGCTTTAAAATATGGTTTTAACTAAATACAATTCGACTGGGTTAAAAAAACATGCATTATACCTGTGACTGTAGAAGAGCCCGCGAGGGTCACATCACTTAACCTCCTTGAGCCAGTCCGATATATGTTTTCAGTAGAAGTAAAAAAAATATATTTCACAAGTGTAACGTCTGTTAATTGTTGAACACTACCTGTCATCTCGTACTTACTTAACTTGCCAGAATGTGTTTGGGCATACATTTCCCTTTACTTCTGTGCCAAACAAAATGACAGTAATTCATCTCGTTTCACATGGCACCTTCCGTATTAAGTTACGATATTTTGGATACAGTAGACATTTCCAACACTTACATTGTTTTCTGATTTCAATGTGATTTATATTTTGACAAATGTGTCAGGAATGAGTTTCGTGACTTTTTGATCACCCTGTATAATGCCAGATTATAATTTTAATTGTGATTAGACAATGATGCAATACGGCGTTCGCTGTTCTGCTGTTTCAACATTCGCCTTGAGGGGCTGAAAGAACTCTGGATGTATTCCCGGAATCTTGCCGCTGTGCTAAGCATCATGGCGCATGTTTACCCTCATCAAAGTAGACTGAACTGAAAAGAAATAAGACGGCCTGCTATGGAAAATGGTGTAACATTTGGGACTGAATTAACATTTACATAGTAAAATTTATACTAATCGCTTAATTCATTTTACTCTCTATCGATTTATTGATTGATTCTTAAGTTCTGCTTTTCTTTGTTTTTTAGTGGTAGTGGCAGTGGGCTACAGTCTTAGTTTTACGAGACATTCATTAGTCTCTTCACTGGGATAGTTACATCAAATGCGCTAGAGGTTCCTTCCTAATCTTTATCTGCTTATAATTCAATCTCAACTACATATTTAATTACACGCTGTGTCGTTCTGTAGTTAAACCTGTATTGTTACCTAAGACTCGGCA